TATATATATATATAGAAATATCTATATATATATATATTAGGGCTGCAACTAACGACTATTTTAATAGTCGACTAGTCACCGACTATTGAAACGATTAGTCGACTAATCGAATAGTTATTCACTTTTTCTTAAAAATAGCATAAAGTTGCTTTAGTTAAGTGGAAAATGATAAACACAAGAAAAATGGGTACTTCAATGGAAAATGCATCTTTTAATCAACTTTGCAGCTGATACAAAACGTAAATAAGAATGCGTTTGTCAGGCACAGTCAGGCATAACGTTAAAGCTCTCTTTTAAAGTGAAAAAACGCTTAGAAAATGTATAACGTACATAAAAGACAAAACATATTAGCATTATTGTTGCTTAAATCTTACCGAGGCGAGTCAGACTCCGTTTCATTTAAGTGCCCAACATGCTTTCTTTTTAAATGCTCATGCATCACCGAGGTGCTGCCGTGATACGCAAAGTCTGTTTTGCAAACCTTGCACGTAATTTTTTTACTCGTTGTATCAAGGATAAAATGCTCCCAAACTTTGGAAGTTTTTGTACGCGTGTTGGACGCCGCCATTTCTGTAACCGCTGTTGTGCAGGTGACTCTGGGCAGATTGTAATTAAGTGAGATGTCTCACTCTGTTGGAAAAACACGTCTGGCGACAATAGTCGACAATGGAATTCATTGTCGACTTTTTCTATCATCGATTTTTGTCGACAACGTCGACGAATCGTTGCAGCCCTAATATATATATATATATATATGTGTGTGTGTGTATAATATTAATAATGTAATGAATTATATACAATTAATATATATTATGATATAATATCAAGCACAGACTCACCCTGCTAAGTCGGGAAACCGCTAAGGAAACGCAGGTTTTGAATTCGTCTGGATTCTTCTGGCTAAGGCAGGTGATGAGAGAGATGGCTGCGGTCACCACACCCTAAACCCAGGCGGAACACACAACAAAAACAACAGCAAACACATCAGCAGACAGACTAATACCAGGTCCAGGGAATTAATGCCACCTCTGATTAGTTCCCCGTTTGAAAGAAGAGTTGGGTTTTGTGCCTCTTACCATGTGCTGGTCGTTAAGCAGGTGCACCACCCGAGATGTCCATTCACCCATCAGCACCAGGTCAGGAGAGGTTTTGTACAGCCGCAGCAGACACAAGGCGGCTGACTGTTTCACGCTGTCCATTGTATCACTGTGGTGTAAAACATTCAGGTTACAAGCTGGTCAAATACGGCATCATCGGGCTCAGCATTCACTAATAGCCAATCACAGGGAACAAAATTAGATGGCTACCTATTTCTCTTTAGGCCTTTAAAAATAAGTAAAGAAAATGAAAATAAAGAAAAAAAGGTTTTGGCTCCGGTTGTTGCCAGTAGACATGGTGGGTGGGTAGGGAGTTTTTTTTTTCCGGTAGGAAGCACCTAAACCTAAAATTAAAGTCTCAAAAACTGACTCGTAATGAGTAGCTCCACCATTGTTGTTGATTGCTTCAAAATTTTGTTTTGGCAATTTGTGAGACGCCTTGTTTATGCAGCTTAACAATCCCAACGCGTTCAAAGACGAAAGATCTTCACGGCGTGATCACTTGACAGGAATTGACATTTGGCTTTAAAGGCGGTGGCGTTAAAAATTTTGACCAGGTGGGGATCCATAAAAATGATTAAAGAACACCTAAAAAGGATACCAGCAATTCTCAAAGGCAAATTTGTTACTATACAGCAGCAAATAGATTTGAAAGGATATGGGTAAATATAAGTGTGAGCGATATGGCTCAAACATAATATATTTCAGAGTATTTTAATGATACATTTTGTGATATAACAAAAACGCCCAACAAAAAAATTGTTATTCATTTTACAAAATTACCTTAAGATGCTGATCTATATAAAAGTATAAAAAGTATAAAAATAAAAAGTAAAAAATGAGGTTTTTGTAATTTAGATTGAAAAAGTCTGCACAAAATATGGATAAACAAAATCCATGACAAAAACTAAAGTGCAGTTCCCAAAATATAAACTTCATAAAGAGCTTTTGAGCATAAATGTAACATACAACAAAAAATATGAGGTTCAACTTCCAAAACCTTTCACCAAATGCTGAAAATGACTTAAATGCTGCCCGAAAGGATTTCTAATCATAAGCAGAATATAGCTGGTTATGATCATTTAGAAAGTTTCAGATTCTTACTGAAGAACACAAGCCTGTTCACTGAGGCAGGACTCAGCTCCGACCCGTTACAGGTGGAAATGTTCCAGCCTTTCAAAGGATGCACTAGTGGCTTGGACGCACAGGTTTTTTTTCCCCTCCTTTTCAAAATTACAGCCTTCTTGCATTCTTTTGCATATTACGGTGCATATCCTCTGTGGTGGGGGTACAGTATCTACGCCACGAAACTAGCATATCATCATATAAAATATTTTCCCAGGCAGTTTGTGTTAACTGGTATTATCGTGAATTACATTATATGATCCATCCCTAGGTAAATGCAGATTTCTTTATTTACCTTTCTTTCAAATCTTAGCGCCACCGAGCCCACGCCCTACATTTAGTCCAACGCTGCCTTGACTGATTCCTGACATACTGCAGCTTACTGAGGGGTGGCATGAGGTTATGAGGACATGCTAAACACACGTTTAACGCATTTTTCAGACTATAAGTCACACCGGGGTATAAGCCACACCAGCCACTATATCCATTAGAAAGAAAAGCAAGCCGCACTGGACTATAAGTCGCATGGACATACAGGTATGTTAACTTAATGTGGAAAATTCTGATTATAATGTATTTGTCGTACTACAGTGCCCATGATGCATTGCATTTCCAGTGGCCATTTTAAAACATAGAGCGATTTTGTCACCTAGAATCGTTTAATTACTGTAAATTTTTCATTTATAAGTTGCTCTGGGGTATAGGCTGCACCCCCGGACAAAACGTGTAAAAAAAAAGTGAGACTTAGTCCGAAAAATACGGTATGTAGATTTTTAAGGCAAGTAGATTCCATGTCTTACACCTACCCAGCGACCAGGATGCGAGGGATCTCACTTGCAAAGGCCTCCGCCATCTCACGGCTTCCCACGTTGGCAATACAGTGAAGCGCCAGGCACATGAAGGTGGGATTGCGACTGGACAAGTCATTCTTGATGGCATTGTTGATAAGACGGATCAGCTCACTGTTGCTGTTCACCAACACTGAAATAAACAGGTAGCCCTTGGAAAAACAAAAAGTGAAGCAGAATTATCTTTTTATCTCCAAAAATAATAACAACAAAGCAATGTTGCACAATGCCGCGGCATTTTGCGGCGGGCAGCCTGGGATAGCGCTCACTGTGGACGTCTTTATTTGCATCTACTTCAGATGTTCTACAGAGATAAAGGCTTTCCTCAACATTTTTCATGTGCTGCTGAAAGGACAGCAAATAAATCTATTTTTTAACGATGCACAAAAATGGTAAAAGGAAAACTTTTAACCTACTCAGCTACAGCTAACTGTGCTTTCGAAAAACAAGGAAATGCATTGAACAAAGACCTCGAATCCAGATGTCTCGGATGTAGAGCAGGACTAAAGAAAAAAAGCTGCATCATGGTCAAACCATTCCATTCTTTGATCATGGGAACTGTGACATCACTGGCAGAAAGACCAAATAAGAGGGAATATTAACTGAACTAAACTTTTAAAAACTTTGGCTTGCTTTCCAGGCAATCATCATCCCCGATCGCTTAAACACCCCTGAGACTGTTTGGTGACACCATACAATTCAAACCCATTAAAAACTACTTTATACATTCTGAAAGGAAATTACATAAACGACCAGGCCTCTGAGCTGCTGTAGTGTTCAGGCCAAGTTTCACTTGTTTTTTTTTCTTGTTTTTTTCTTTACGAGGCTCATAGTTTGGAATGTTTCAGGTGACCATAAAATGTGTCAAATGGCCAAGACTGCTGGGGACTTCCAACGATGCACCTTTTTTCACTTTGTTCTCATTGTACATGTGACATTTGTCTTATGATTGACATCAACTGGTTTTTCTCTCATCAAGAAGCCCAGAACAGAGGTTTTCTTTTTTTTGGTATTGTCATTTTTTTTGTACTAATCTCTTAAATCAGCTGGTTGAGGCAGATGGTCATCCTAACCAAGTCTGATTCTGCCAGAGGGTTTGGTCATTTCAAATGAATAAAATCAACATAAATTGCATTCATATTAAATAATAACTTACTATAAAATATGGTTAAAAAAAACATATATGGAGATAAACTAGGAAATCATACACAATTGTTACATATTTGCTGAGTATATGCAACACTTTTACAGCCCCCCCCCCCAAAGACTTACTATCTGCTTCTCTGTATACTTGTTGGAGCTCAGTAGGTTGACTGCCTCCATGTGTCCAAAATCAATGTCATGGCCGAGCAGGAAGATAAAAAGAAGCTTGCAGACATACTTTTTCTTGCTGTACCCATCCAGAGCCTTGTCCCCTTTGAACTTAGAGCGGATGTTGGCCAGCTCTTTATTTATCCGTTTGATCTCTGCCTCCTTGCTCTTACCTAAAGGAAAAGGAGAAGAGAAGAATTGGAGGATCTAAACCATGTGCATGTTCACACAGATAGATAGATAGATAGATAGATAGATAGATAGATAGATAGATAGATATGAACACACAAACACATACATACATACATACATACATACATACATACATACATACATACATAC